CCATCCATCCATCCATCCATCTATCTCTCTCCCTCTCTCTGCAGGACCCCCCAAATAGGGGGGTCGGCGGCACCCGGGCGCTAGCCCATTCTATAACGAAGCGCAAATCCAGAGAAAATAACGTTCTCCGCGGAGAGAAGCTTCTGCCCCCAAGGCATGAAAACATATTAATGTCTCAGCAATGCACCTGCCAAGTGCCTGTCGCAGGAGTCTTTGCCTTGAAACAACGGCGCCAGTTATGGAAGCACTTAAACGGCTTATTGACTGGGGACGAAGGTCGAAACCACTCAAGCAGCGTTTTTAGTTGCCTGTGTCATATCGCTTTCTTAGCAACTGCAGGAACTGTGAAAATCCACCGCATGAGCTGCTGACACCATAGGATTCCTAACAGTTGGCGAAGCCAACAGCCTGTCGCTCGTTTCTCAAACCCTAGTTCAAAATGATTCAAACTCCAAGAGTTTATGCTCCCATGAACTCAGTGTGCCTAAAAAGCGAGGTGACATCACAACACAACACAGCTGCGCAATGCAATCAGTTTTCCCAAGTGCCAGGCTATCCAACGAGATTTAAACTTAAACAAAACCGGTTGAGCAGCAGAGGAGCTGGAATTCTCACGGGAAGCTGGGCATCTTGGCTGTTCCCGATAAAATCTTAAAATGTTCCTGTATTATCCTGTATTCAGGCAACACAATGCCTGCTTTGAGAGCCACGAGTCCGCGTGTCCGTACCACAGACACGCAGAAACTTGGCCTATTTCATGCCGTTCTGTTGAGGGAAGCCGGAGATTCCGGAGCCAGTGGAGCCAAGAACACGGCCTTCGACTCCCATACATTCTTCAAGACTTGCGGCTTGGACTTCTTGAGCCTGCGCATCTGTTCTTGATGTTCGTCATGAATAATAAGCAATGCACTGGCAACCTGCTCCATGACATTGCTGGAGTCATGGATTGTCATCTCTACCTGTGATATGATCTCTTGCATACCCTGGGCTACCACTTTGGATTTCTTGCTCGTCTCTGAGAGAAGGATGCTAGACCTTTCATGCTGGGTAATAAGGTCTGCAGCCAGCTCCGGATTAGCTACTCCTGTCTTCTTCATAGCTTCGAGCAGCTGTTCCTGAATGAATTTCAACTTCTCATCTTTTCGTTTCACTTCTGCCTCTGCTGCAAGCAGGCCTTCCGCGGAAAGCTTGCTTGTCCAGAACTCTTGTGAATCTTTGACCTTCAATTCTTCAATGTCGTCCCGCAGTTTTTCCTTTTTGTCAGAGATGTCAATCAGCTCATCATCAATCTTTTCCAACTTCCGATCAAGATCTCGCTCATCTGCCTGCCGGTGCTCTTCATCTTTTGTCACCTGGTTTTCGTAAACCTCCATCTCTTCTTTCCACATGGATCTCCACCAACGCTTGATGTGCCAGTCACGAATGTTCTTCGTTTCATTTCGCTGCTGTGACCGAAACACTCGATAATCCTCCTTGAGCTTCTCAAGTTTCCCTTTTTTCTCTAGCAGACTGTCTTGGCGCTTCTCAAGTCTGCGAAGCTTTTCTTCTTCCTGACGGTTAAACATACCATCGGTAGATCGAGGATATGATATGCAGAAAAGAATATAAAAGAAGTACACCCTCGTAGGCCCCAAGCAGTTCACTCCAAAGTTGAGGCAGTCTGTGCGAGTACGATCCATGTCAATTCCGACATGACGAATAAAAGAAAACCGCCCCGAGTGCTGAAGGGCGAGCACCGAAACCACACCGAAACCGAAATTGGGAGACAAATGCAAGGAAAACACCAAGACCGAAACTGGCAGACGAGTGAAATATCTTATAGAAACAAATTGATGGGAGACAAATCAGGAAAGACTTTGAGAGGGCGGGACAACACCAGCCAACCAAAAGACTTGGTGACAAATGATGTCAAACGAGTCAAGAGAGACTTCTGGAGAGCCGGACATCCCCACCCAAACTGGGAGACGATCAAAGGCCTTGGTGGACCTGGGCAAATAAGAAAGCATTAATAAGAAAGCCATGCCTCTGTTGAAACCAGGGTCGTTCGAAAAAAAAACACCGGAAGCTATCAAATGCAGACAAGTCTCAAATTGTATCATTTTCTTTAGTCCACCATCCTTTCTGGCCTTTAAGGCTAGCTGCAACTCGGGATCTGCGAGGTCATAAATCCGCTTGCACTTCTCGGCTTCTTGTTCCTTCTCCTCTCTCAACTTGGAAAATTCTTCCAGGTTGGATCTTACAGCAGCCCCTCCTGGCAGTTGCGACATAATGCGAGCTGCAGTCCGCCGCACAAAACCCTGATTGCAAATCGAAGCTTTCTTTCCCTGGTCCAGCATCTTGTCTTTCCAGGTTTGCAGAGTTTCTTCCAGTCGCGATCTGGCGGCATCTTTGTCTGAGTCACTCATCTTGCTTGGTGTGACTGACTTGCAATACATCAGCATGGCAACTGCCAACTGCTTGATGTTGGATTGGGTCGCAGAGATCCCTTCCTGAAGTGAATTTGCTGCTGCAAGGATTTGGAGCTGATCTTCCTGGATGTCTTGCCTGACAGAGCCAGACCCATCGGACCCAAGACCAGCTTGGGCTGTCTGGCTCCTAGTGTACAAATTGATAGCTTCAAGGGTGTCCAAGTAGACATTTTGTTCCAACAGGTCAACAACGAGAGTATCCAGTGATTTGACCAATGCTTCGGCTTCTTGGTGAGATCCGATTTCCATTCCTTGCAGCTTCATCTTCGTCAAAACTTCTTCGGCAAATAGTTGCGGCTCAAGAACTGGATCATTGACCTTGGAGGCCTCGCACACACGATCCAAGTGCCACCGCTCAGGGAATGATAATGTCTCAAAACCTTTCTCAACCAAAACATTGCGGTGCGTAAGAATCTTCTTGCGATGGAAGGGTTGGTCCACGCCGACAACTTCGAGATCCTCATCAGTCAAGTCTTGGAGCATTAGCCCATTAACCGATGCAGCTTCAAAATTTGGGACGTACTGCTCCAAGTCCAAAGTCGCAAGCCAGCAAGACACTGAACGAATGTCCATGCTGCTAATGTCCACATTTGACACAGGAGTGATTGGCACTGGCTCCGGCGATGGCTCCTCCGACTTGCGCCGCCACCAGTTCAGAGCTGTGTTCAATCGGCGATGGGGGGAAGGCGTGCCACAGAAGTTGACCAGCTGCATGCGGAACAGCAAGGCCATGGCCACGAAAGGCCAAACCCGATGGGAGCGTCGCACTGGCATCTCTCCGTGGCGCCACAAGTCGATGAGTGAGTGGGCTCGAACAGAACGGCTCGATACGTTGCAAGCAGGAGTGGATGACAGTCTTCTTTCAAACAAAAGTAGGTCATTATGGTCATTTGAGTCACTTGACATGCCGGGCTAATGAACAAGAATGATGAGCTTCAATGTCAAGCTGCTTGTGGTAGTTGGGCTTCTGGCCACCGATGTTGGCTTCCAAACCACCAACAGCTAGCCTGCCAACATTTACAAACAATTGGAGGCAGCAAATGTTGTGAGGACAAAAAAGAAAGATGTTTGCAAACATTGAACTTTGTGAAGAGAAAGTTTGTGTCTTTGGGCACCCTTCAACTGTCGCCTTGATTCCATTCTTTTTACCTCAACGCAAATTGGTTTCTGATTGCTTTTCGAATGTCTCTTTTTTCTCTCCCTTTGAAACGCAAAAAGATGCACAGAGATCCGAAGCTAATGAAGCGGAATTTTGGTTCAATTGGCTTAATAGGCTGGGGGATGTCTTCTTGAGAAGTGGCGTTGAAAAACTGCTGGCCTGTGGGTTCAGTTCAAGTCAAACGCCTCATAGACCTCATAACATCCAAACGCTCCAGTGGCAATGTCATTGCAATTAAATTAAGAATCGACTGAGGACATCTAAGGACATTCAATGAGTTCTGAGCGGAATTTGATCGATTCAAAGGTCAAGGGCGGCTGATCAATCTGTAATACTCTACAACCCCCAACTGTAACCTTGCAATATGTCTTGGCTGGGGGAGTCACTTCCAGGATTTTGAACCACTGATTGGAATCGTTGTGCTGCCATCATTTTTCTACAAGGGATATGGCAAAGGCTTCCATCAATCAGCAAACCTTCAAACTGCTACAACCTGTTTGAAAGCACATCACGCAGCCCTTGTCATCGGACTTGCCTGGTTGCCAAAAATTGGCGCGCCAAGCTGCAGACCCAGTCTTGAACCAGTCTGACGCAACAGAAGATATCCACAATCCATACCATAGTCTTGCAACAGAAGGTGAAAGAATAGCTAGGTAGACTGCACTCAACTGCACTCTGTTGCCAGGTCACAGCTGAAAAGCCTTTTGACTGAATGGCCCCAGTGAGACATCCCAATAATTATGAAACCAGTGTCAAAGCATTGTGATCGAGGGTGCAGAACCCAAAAGAGTTGCCGGCTCAAGTTTGATCAAACCAGCTGGAAACGGTTGGCCCTGCAAATGGATCTGGTGCTGCAGGAGCCTTGGATTCAAGTAAACGAACAACGCACTAGGAAAAACCTTAGAATATACGGTGCAGCATTTCATGAGATTTTTCTTATAGGGATGTAGACAACACATTGCGAATCTCATAAATCTATTGGTCACCCTTAGGAGACAAATTGAGGCACCTGGCGCCATCCGTTTTGAGGGATTTTTGCGACAAATTGTACCCACTAATGGAGCAAGAGGAGCTGCCACAGATGCAAAAAGACCAGGCGATGCATCGTCAGCAAACAAAGAAGAGACGTCGTTTGTTGTGCCATTTGCGCAACCAGCCTCATGATCACTTCCGTTCGCCCGACCAACCTCAATTGTCGCAGTGCCAAGGAGCTACGAGCACCCATTGGCTCAGTCATTGCTGATAAATCTGATTATCGTTGATTGCCCGCATTACTATGCAAATCGAGCATATATTCAACAGGCCAATGACTTCGCAAAACTTTGTGGTGATGTGGTGACTTACGCTCAGAAAGGGGTTTGGTAAAACCCACTGGCAGTGTCCAAGAAGACCCGCGACGTCTACGTGTAACCGCTACAAAACTTGAGAATGGGCACTGGTCTGGCTGTGCTCCGTGACTTCGTTGTAAGATTCGGCTCAGCTCGGTCGCCCAGCGCTTAGCAAGCAAAACCCATTTTTTCTCACTGCAGCAACTGTGTTTTGAGCAGTCATAATGATGTCCATCTTGCCAGCCCATGTATGAAACGCTGTCCTGTTGCTTAACACATGTTTGGGGGGTAACACCTGGCCTGCATTGTATTCACACCCCCCACGCCCATCGAATTTTTTTTGGAGTTTGGGCGCAGGAAAGTAAATGCCAGGGCTTATGGTTTCCCATTTAACTAGCTATGGTTTGTACCATTGTGCCTCCCTCAAAAATACAAATGCCAGTGTAATGCTACCCGGTTCCCCATGTCAGCCGATGGGCTGGCATGGTCCCCAAATTACACGATGATTAGCGGGCTCGCCGACGGACGCACCTGCTCCCCATACGTATCATGCACTATACAGGCTATGTCATTGGAAGGCTGGTACTGCTGGAGGTTTTACTCCAGCTCTTTAAAAAGAATTGGGAGCTTGAATTACTCCGGCTCTCAAATGCCTCTCTCAGATGACCTGTAATTAGGTCAATCCTCAGCACTTACTTTGCTTTTCAAGCCTTCTTCTTCTTCTTTGATGCTTCTGTAGCTGCTGAGTCTGAGGCGTCTGCCGTTTCGTGGCTGCCGGAAGCAATGGTGCGGGTGAAGGTCATATGCCGTTCCCGTTCTTCTTGCTCGAGATGTGCGGTTTGTGTTATCATTCGACGCTCCTTCTTCATGGCTGATCGCCGCCTTGCCTCACGTTGTTCTATCAGTAGGGCTGGTAGCTGCACGCCTTGATTCACTAGCGTCAATGAACCAGAGTATAGGTTCTGACCCTCTTCATCACTGCACAGCAGATGGAGACCGGGTCGATGTGCAAGTGATCTGCCAGCGGGTAGTTGGTCCGGAAGTAGTCATAACTTCTCACGCCAAACGCCCCCGGGATCAGCCTTCAAACCACTGACGAACTTCTTCTTTTGATTGCCTCTCTTTCTTTGTCATCCAACTCCATGTCATCGGCAAACATTGAATTGAAGCTCGTAGGTTTCATTCCCGTCTCGACCAAGTGCTTCATCATTCTGCACATGATTCGCTACCAATTGTTCCTCGAAGAAAGACTTCCTCGTCTCTCCCCCCAATATCGCCATCTTTGGACTTCTTACTCGCAAACATGGCTTTCATATCCCCTTCCGTGGGCATCTTGAGCTCGCCGTTCTTGTCCGTCCCAAGGTAAGGGCAGTAGCCATCAAACTCGGGAATGGTATCCTGGTTGATGACTCTCTCTTTGTACTCCGTGGTGTCCATATTGCGATTTGTATCGCGCTTTGAGGTGCGTGATGATGACCGCGTCGATGGCTCGCGCTGCCCCGTCTACGGCGTCCATGCTGACGGCTTCCGCAGTGCACTCAGTGCTGATGCATCCGGGAACAAATCAAACTGCCCACAGCGGAAGAGGGTTGGCCCTTCTTTCCGTCTCCTCTCGCTGAGATCCTCCTCATCTGCTCGCTCCTGTTTTCTCTTTCCTCGTGGGTATTGACTTTCGATCTTGCTGCGGGCGATGGAGGAGTACCTGGTCGGCCACCACTCCGGTCGGTGTCATTGCCCGTGTCTTCGTTCGTGCGATTGGGGTATTCGTATTCTTCGTGACGATCATGTTCGGCCTGTTGTCGTTTGGCCGTGGCTTTTGCTTTTCGGATGAGCTCGTCGACTTCTCCCTTGTCCATGTCGACGTCTTCATCTTGTTATTGATCGGATCGTCATCTCCTTGTACATCATCGTTCCTTTGATGTTGTTGCTCATCTTCAGCTCGGATCCTTTCCCCGTAGCTCACAAGGGTTCCTCTGCAGCTCAGGCAGATTGTGAGGTCATGTGGGGTCTCCAAAAGAATGCTGGACACATTACTCTGCCAGCTTCTTTCGAGGTGTAGTTCTCCGCCATGAAGTGCGCAATCCTGCTTCTCAGCGGATCACTGGGTCTGAGGGTCAGTGTTCCACCGGCTTCAAGTTCTGTCACGTCCTTCTTGAACTCTTCGTGGAATGTGATGCCCTTTTCGTCCTGGATCTCGTCAGCCATTGATCGTGTGGCTTGCAGTAGTTTCTTCCTCGATACCACCCACGTTGGATCTCTGCACTCTCTGATCAACTGGCTTCCTCCGTTCTCGATCGATAGCCTGCACCATTCATGGTGGTTGTAATAGTACCATGCTCCAATCGATGCAGAGTAGGGCACATTCTGGTCAGTGGCAGGTACCCAGAAGCGTTGATGATGGCCCCAAAGTCCAGCAGGGTGTGCGCGTGAAATGCTATGGCCACACATGCCGAGTTGAGGTGTGTCAGATCCAATCCCAACACGTTCTTGAACCTCCTGTCCCAGGGCGCAAAGGGGCTGAAAAAACTTGCAATCTGCCTCTTCTTCTCCCCCCAGGTCGTAATCCTTCTCGGACTATCATGTCGAGGTTCCTGATCTCGGAGATGTGGAAGCAATACCTGAATAATCCAGTGATCTCTGATGTGAGCGAATGTTGAATCTTGTCCAACTTGATCTTCACACCAGCTCGTGATGAAGGATGAGCATTGGGAGATCGGATTGCAATGGGAGCGCAGTAGATGCTTGAGCCGTCCTCAGGAATGAGCCGTTGCATCGCTGCGTCGACACCCAGTTCGCCCACAAGGAACTCATCTGTCACTGTGAACGTTTCGTGGAGGGTGTAGCACAGAAATTGCCATCTTACTCTTCTCTTCCTCGGGTATTCGGTCCATTGCATCCTGATGAGCTGTTTAGTTCTGTGCCCTATGATACCATTATGGTGGATGGTGTCTGGTTGCCATCTGGGCCAAGGTTCTCTTTGGCTGCTCTGTCGTACACGTACTCATTCTTCATGAAGCCGTGAATGTCAACCCATCCGGCCTCGTCGCATTTCACCCCGGGGAAGTGCCTTTGATAGTCCTTCTCCCAGACCTGATGTCTTCCGACGTGATACCGTAGTACCCTGTTGACCCTATAGCTCATGCTGATCTCCCAGTTCACCCTGAAGAGCGATTGATTCTCCCTCTCCTCGCCTGGTTTGTACTGGGGTCCATTGCCTGCGACAGATGTTGCCCTGAAGATGCCCCTGTAGAGTGGTAGCGTTTTGAGGCACCCAATGAGAGTCCTGATGTTCAACTTCTTGTACATCTTGTGTTCCGATGCTGGTGGTGCATATGGCTTCCTCGCACGACATCATCTTTCCGTTCTCGCCAGCAAGTCCATGATGTCATCCAATTCTGCATGATCAGCTGGACCATCTCTATCCACTCGGGCTCCACAGTAGCTCATGTCCCCATGGGCTCGATTTCCGATCTTGATCAACGTGAGAGGTGTTGAGTACATGTTCTCCTCTTGTTTTCCTGTCTCCTGTTTTGGCTTCTCCCCCTCTTGCCGTTGATCTTCTACCTTCTTCTTCATGAGATTGTCGCGGAGCATGTTCAGGGATGTCCGCCCCTTTGGAGCTGCATTCATACTCAACATGCCCGCTCTGACCGGATTTGATGCAAACATTGTTCTCGCCTGCAGTTCTGAAGAATGCGCCGATTGCATTGATGACCTCCTTCCTCTCTCTCTGCAGAGATCTCATCTTCCTCATTGACTTCTGGAGGTGTACCTGTAGGCTGGTAGTCTCGCAAGGTCGCCGACGGGCGGTCTTGCTGGTCCGCAGCTCTGGCACTGGCAGATGCGGATCCCGGGTCGACCAAAAGGCCAGCCTGTTCACCTTCTCCGCTTCCCCCCATTGGGTCATCCTTGTCGACCCTGGCATTCATGTAGATCTCAAGGAGTCTGGCCAACTCGCCGTCTGAGGGCATGCTCATCCCTTGTGGATTCCGACAATTCCGCAATATCTGTTCCACTGCGGCGTCCTCATAGTGGGTGGCGTCCGCGTGGCCGGCCTTGTTGCGCTTGGAGTTCCATGTTGAAGTGGGTCTTGAAACTCCTTGGAACATGTTGATCGAAGCCTCAAGCCCGGCCAGAAGTTCACCTGGATCGGCTGTGCTGTGGAGTTGAGCGTTTTGATGTGCCCTTTCGTCATGTTGACAATGTCGAGCAAGCCAAGCCACATTTCCACTACGTCCCCACATTTCTCGGCCTTGGGGTCCTGCAAACGATGCATCTCTTGGAACAGGAATGATCTTCCAACATCTTGTCCACTGAAATGGTTCAGTAGTGGATTGATGCTTCGGGCAAACGAATTGTTCGCATTTGGTGTGATCCAGGAATAGCCAGGTGTCCAGGTTCTCCACCGTGATCTCGGAGATGATGTTTCTGAAGTTGACCTCCGCCCAAGGTGCCTTACTCCCCCTGGCCTGATTAGTATGTCCGGCTCCACCGGCTGTTTCTCCAGTCCCAGCCTCTTGAGAAGAGTCCCGATTGTTCGTGACGCCACTGTCGCGGCTGATGTCAATCACCGTCGGGTCGAGTTTTTTCATAAGTGGCTGGTCAAGAATGACGAGGGGGAGTGTGGATACGAAGTTGTCCATTATTCAAACCACCTGTTGACATAAGATGTATAGCTGCACTTTTTTGCTGTCCAATTGCTTGTAGGGTTGTCACTTTGGCCCCGTCATTGCCAGGATGACACGTTGTGAAGCTGCTCGGATTTGCCATTATGGCTTAAGCCAAAATAGGTTGCAGCTGAGCGCGCTGCAATCATACCAACCTCACAACCCAAGAAACAAATGTCATGCATTTGTTCTCTTCCCACATTACAGTTTGGTGGCCATTGGTGACCAAAGAAAATGCAAAGAAAATGCACAGCGACCCTTGACGGGACTTCGATTCTACTCCCATGTAACTCTTCAATGCTTCAGGCACAAACTAAGCCCAACACCTGTGCCACTGGTGGCGGTGCTTGTGAGGCTTGGGCAGGGACCGACCCAGGATCATCTGCAAACAAGGACGAAACGTCCTTCGGTTGTCCACCACCACCACCACCCTGATCGAACCAGCTGGATGTGTCAACAGACGTTGTGGGCTGAGCCGCCTTAGTCAGAGTAAACATGCTGGATTAATTTGAATATATTCGACCCTTGACGGGACTTTGATTCTACTCCCATGTATAACTCTTCAGTGCTTCAGGCACAAAACTAAGCCCAACACCTGTGCCACTGGTGGCGGTGCTTGTGAGGCTTGGGCAGGGACCGGCCCAGGATCATCTGCAAACAAGGACGAAACATCCTTCGGTTGTCCACCGCCAGCACCCTGATCGAACCAGCTGGAGGTGTCAACAGACGTTGTGGGCTGAGCCGCCTTAGTCAGAACAAACATGTTGAATTAATTTGAATGTACTCGAATTGTATGCCATGCATTTGTTCACTTCCCACATCACAGTTTGGTGGCAGAGAAAATTTTCAGCGACCCTTGATGGGACTTTGATTCTACTCCCATGTAACTCTTCAGTGCTTCAGGCACAAACTGAGCCCAACACCTGTGCCACTGGTGGCGGTGCTTGTGAGGCTTGGGCAGGGACCGACTCAGGACCATCTGCAAACAAGGACGAAACATCCTTCGGTTGTCCACCGCCACCCTGATCGAACCAGCTGGAGGTGTCAACAGACGTTGTAGGCTGAGCCGCCTTAGTCAGAATAAACATGTTAAACTAATTTGAATATATTCGAATTATATGTCATGTATTTGTTCGCTTCCCACATCACAGTTTGGTGGCAAAGAAAATGCACAGCGACCCTTGACAGGACTTTGATTCTACTCCCATGTAACTCTTCGGTGCTTCAGGCACAAACTAAGCCCAACACCTGTGCCACTGGTGGCGGTGCTTGTGAGGCTTGAGCAGGGACCGACCCAGGATCATCTGCAAACAAGGACGAAACATCCTTCGGTTGTCCACCGCCAGCACCCTGATCGAACCAGCTGGAGGTGTCAACAGACGTTGTAGGCTGAGCCGCCTTAGTCAGAATAAACATGTTGAATTAGTTTGAATATATTCGAATTATATGTCATGTCTTTGTTCGCTTCCCACATCACAGTTTGGTGGCAAAGAAAATGCAAAGAAAATGCACAGCGGCCCTTGACGGAACTTTGATTCTACTCCCATGTAACTCTTCGGTGCTTCAGGCACAAACTAAGCCCAACACCTGTGCCACTGGTGGCGGTGCTTGTGAGGCTTGAGCAGGGACCGACCCAGGATCATCTGCAAACAAGGACGAAACATCCTTCGGTTGTCCACCGCCACCCTGATCGAACCAGCTGGATGTGTCAACAGACGTTGTGGGCTGAGCCGCCTTAGTCAGAACAAACATGTTGAATTAATTTGAATATATTCGAATTTTATGCCATGCGTTTGTTCGCTTCCCACATCACAGTTTGGTGGCAGAGAAAATTTTCAGCGACCCCATGAAGGGACTTTGATTCTACTCCCATGTAACTCTTCAGTGCTTCAGGCACAAAACTAAGCCCAACACCTGTGCCACTGGTGGCGGTGCTAGTGAGGCTTGAGCAGGGACCGACCCAGGATCATCTGCAAACAACGACGAAACATCCTTCGGTTGTCCACCGCCAGCACCCTGATCGAACCAGCTGGAGGTGTCAACAGACGTTGTGGGCTGAGCCGCCTTAGTCAGAATAAACATGTTAAACTAATTTGAATATATTCGAATTATATGTCATGTATTTGTTCGCTTCCCACATCACAGTTCGATAGCAAAGAAAAAGCAAACAAAATTCGACAGCGACCCTTGACAGGACTTTGATTTGATTCTACTCCCATGTAACTCTTCGGTGCTTCAGGCACAAACCAAGCCCAACACCTGTGCCACTGGTGGCGGTGCTTGTGAGGCTTGGGCAGGGACCGACTCAGGATCATCTGCAAACAAGGACGAAACATCCTTCGGTTGTCCACCGCCAGCACCCTGATCGAACCAGCTGGATGTGTCAACAGACGTTGTGGGCTGAGCCGCACGTTGAATGAATTTGAATATAGTCGAATTATAATATATGTCATGTAATTGTTCGCTTCCCACATCACAGTTTGGTGGCAAAGGAAATTTTCAGCGACCCAATTGATGGGACTTTGATTCTACTCCCATGTAACTCTTCAGTGCTTCAGGCACAAAACTAAGCCCAACACCTGTGCCACTGGTGGCGGTGCTTGCGAGGCTTGGGCAGGGACCGACTCAGGATCATCTGCAAACAAGGACGAAACATCCTTCGGTTGTCCACCGCCAGCAGCCTGATCGAACCAGCTGGATGTGTCAACAGACGTTGTAGGCTGAGCCGCCTTAGTCAGAATAAACATGTTGAATTAGTTTGAATATATTCGAAGTATATGTCATGCATTTGTTCACTTCCCACATTACAGTTTGGTGGGAAAGAAAATGCACAGCGACCCTTGACGGGACTTTGATTCTACTCCCACTTAATTAGAATAGGTGATTGGCAGTTGGAATCGGAAAGTCAATGCGACAATCACTTAGAATTGCTTCTCAGTGATACCTGGGGAGTGCACTAAGAATTGCTGCGGGTGCACTAAGACTTGCCAGCACTAAGAATTAGAAGGCCGTATCATAACCATGCACTTAGAATTATATCAACTCCTAGTGGTACCCATTCTTTTTAATAATTTTCCACTGTAAACCATCCATTTTGGGGTACCACCATTTATGGAAACCCTCACATATATAGCTCTCTTGCTCACCAGCTGGTAAGGAATATGGTTCGCCCTGGCTCAGTGCTTCCCTCCTTCAACTGCTGATTGCCTTGGTGCTTTCGGTTCGGTGCGGGTTCTGGTGCATGAGCAGCATCTGCTGTTGTGTCTGGTTTTGCTTCTGCTGCTTCGACTGCTGATGCAATTTCATGTGGGGGTGCCTGCTGTGGCAGGTCTGGATACTGTTTCTGCAATTCTATGCGCTGCTTGTCTTGTCCCTGCGCATTTAAATTGCAATTGCTGCCGGTTCCTGCTTTGGGTTTCGTTCGGGCTCTGGAGCATGAGCAGCATCTGCTGTTCCGTCTGCTGTTCCTTCTGCTGTCGTTTAGCTGTTTCTGTTGAAAGGCTGCTGATGCAATTTCATCTGGAGGTGCCTGCTCTGCCAATTCTGCATGCTGTTTCTGCAATTCTATGTGCTGCTTGCCTCGTTCCTGTGCATTTAAATTGTAGTTGGTGCCGGTTCTTGCTTTGGGTTTCGCTTGGGCCTTGGGGTATGAGCAGCATCTGCTGTTTCTTCTGTTGGTGTTTCTGTTGAGGGGCTGCTGGTGCAGATTCTTGTGGAGGTGCCTGCTCTGGCAGGTCTGGATGCTGCAATTCTATGTGCTGCTTGTCTTGTTCCTGTGCATTTGAATGGCAGTTGGTGTCAGTTCCTGCTTTGGGTGTGGTGCGGGTTCTGGTGCGTGAGCAGCATCTGCTGTTGCATCTGCTGTTGCGTCTGCTGTTGCGTCTGCTGTTGCTTCCTTCTGCTGCTGTTTCTGTTGAAGGGCTGCTGATGCAATTTCATGTGGAGGCGCCTGCTCTGCCTGTCGTTAAGGATCGCCATGCCATTCATGCAAGGCTGCGATCTCTTAAACCCTACAAGTTGCAGCATCACTACGGTATATATGGGTGTTTGGATGGATCTGCTCGTTTTTTTCCCGAGAGCGTCTGAGCGCAGGGTTCTTCCAATAGTGGGGGTCTGCATCTCATCTTCACACCTTCTCATCTTCACATCTTCTCATCTTCACATCTTCTCATCTTCACATCTTCTCATCTTCACATCTTCTCATCTTCACAGCTGCTCATATTCACATCTTCTCATCCTCACCTCTTCTGATCTTCACACCTTCTCATCTTCACATCTTCTCATCTTCACATCTTCTCATCTTCACATCTTCTCATCTTCACATCTTCTCATCTTCACATCTGCTCATCTTCACATCTGCTCATCTTCACATCTTCTCATCTTCACATCTTCTCATCTTCACACCTTCTCATCTTCACACCTTCACATCTTCAAATATTCACATCTTCTCATCTTCACATCTTCTCATCTTCACATCTTCTCATCTTCACATCTTCTCACCTTCACATCTTCACATCTTCTCATCTTCACATCTTCACATCCTCACATCTTCACATCTTCTCCTCTTGCCCTCTTGCCCTCTTGCCCTCTTGCCCTCTTGCCCCTCTTGCCCTCTTGCCCCTCTTGCCCTCTCCTTCTTTTCTATTTCTCTTCTGAAGGCGGGGCCAGGGGCAGTGCCAACGAGACGGCACGAAACGCAACCCTTTCACACGAAACGAGGTTCGATCGCCAAAAACTGAGGTATAAAATTGCGATTTGAAGGTGTCCGCCGCAACCCTTTCGCACGAAACGAGGTTCGATCGCCAAAAACTGAGGTAAAATTGCGATTCCCAAGTCGTCCCGCGCAACCCTTTCGCACGAAATGAGGTTCGATCGTCAAAAACTGAGGTAAGAGTGCGATTTCAAGGTGTCCGGCGCAACCCTTTCGCATTAAATGAGGTTCGATCGTCAAAAACTGAGGTATAAAATTGCGATTTGAAGGTGTCCACCCCAACCATTTCGCACGAAACGAGGTCCGATCGTCAAAAACTGAGGTAAAATTGCGAGTTCAAGTCGTCCCGCGCAACCCTTTCGCACGAAATGAGGTTCGATCGTCAAAAACTGAGGTATAAAATTGCGATTTCAAGTTGCTCCGCGCAACCCTTTCGCACGAAACGAGGTTCGATCGTCAAAAAGTGTGTAAAAGCTTTTGTGTGTGAAATCGTCTGTGTGTGTGTGTGAAAGTGTTTGTGTGTAAAAGCCTCTGTGTGTAAAAGCGTCTGTGTGTAAAAGCGTCTGTGTGTAAAAGCGTCTGTGTGTAAAAGCGTCTGTGTGTAAAAGTGTTTGTGTGTAAAAGCGTCTGTGTGTAAAAGCGTCTGTGTGTAAAAGCGTCTGTGTGT